AATGAGAATATTAATGAAGTGTTTCCACCTTATGATATATTTAGAACTTACGGAACTCATTTAGAATTCCACATTTAGATTATGTACAGAACAAAACAATTTTTTTAAAAAAATTTATTTGCGAGTTTATAGTTAGTTCAACTGAAAGATAAGCAAAATCCTCTTGAAGATAATAAAAGTTTACCTCATATAGAATTGCGTGAAATTAAAACAATCTATTCCAAATCCAATCAACTATAATGAAATTTGAGATGCATTCTTCTAATACCACTTGAAATTCTACATGAGATCAAATTTCATCTTCTAATAGAATTTAGATCATCTTCTAGTTGAATAGGTGTTGATTTTTGTTAATAAATTCTAACTAAATATTTAGATTTGCTCCAGACAAAGCCTTAGTTTACTTAGAAGGGATGGAATTCCGAACTTAGATTAGGAAGGATAAATACTTAGGAAGACATATAAATTGACTATATTGGAATTATATGTATAATTGAGACAGAATTACCAGTGAAATATAACGCATCCATTCAACTTGAATTCTCTAGGATGTCGATTTTGATAATTTTGGATGAGATTTTCACATTTTCCTAATCATTTTTTTAATATACGAAAGTATTTAAATATAGAAGAGAAATAAACTACAAGAATAAAGGATAAGACGTCCTCAAAAAAACCGCCGTACAAAAACAGAGGCGAAACGAAAAAGATAAGAATAAAATAGTATTCCACTTCCTTTGTTACAAAATATATATGTCTCTTTTTAAAACAACCAAGAGCCTTAGTCAATAAAGACCAAGAAGATCAATCTGTCCCAAAGATATTCTGTCATTTTGCTCAGCCACAAAACCCAAAACCTTGCAAAAGTTGTACATCTCTAAAGGGTTCTTACTTTCTTTTCTACTCCATTCCCTTCTATCGAGTATACAAGAAACTCTTAAAAGTGACGGAGGGAAAGGTCATACTGAACCAAAGTATCAAAAAGAGTTGTTTAAAGCTCCCATCTCAATGGAGAAAAAGGTGGCCATAGGATTCACTTATCTAAATCACATGATAGATAACATCATAGGAAAGAGCCACGTCAGGCCTACAAACTTGCAATAAATCGTTAGTTTTAAGTTTGTTAAGCACAATAGTTGAAGCAAAAATCTTTACTTTCAAGGGAAGTTTTACCCTCCAAAATTATTGTTGAGAAGTTGATCCTGACTACTGGGGACATAAGTGGCTGGAAAATAAATTCCAGGTGCAAAACCCCCGAATAGTCTAGACTCTAAAATCTATTGTCTGCATAAGAGGAAATATTTTGTGGCTTAAGTAGGTTAAGAAAGGAGAATATATCCAAAGCATCTCAATCATTAGGTTCCTGAAGAGATGCAAACTCCAAGAAACAAGCCCATTCGACTGATTAACAAAATTGAATACGGGCAATTATGGAATAATGAAAGATTATAAATGCAAGGAAAATGACTGGCTATTATGTGTCAACCATCCAAATGTCCTCTTAAAACAAGATAAAGTTGCCATCACCCACACTAATGTTGGAAAGTGATAAGGATTCCAAATTTAAGGGAATCTTGGTCAAAATTTCATGATTCTAGCATGATTCCTTTTTCAATTAGGATCTTTGATTCTATGCTGACTAAAACTAATCTAATTAGATTTTCTCCAAAAATGTTCCCTAGATTTTCTCCTCTATAAATGTATTTATATATTGTACACACTAAATAAAAAATACAGATCAGAAAATTTTATTCAAACACTATTATTTCATGGTATCAGAGCCTAGTTTCTTACCAGCTCGAGGAAACCTGAATATGTAACCTTTTTTTCTTCTTCTCCACCATAAGGATGTCTAGTGTGAGTCAACCATCATTCTCGGAAGAATCATCCAATATTTTTTCAAGGAATCCCAGCAGTATAATACCCTTTTCTTGAACAGATGTGAATCACTCAAAAAATCACCCACCACAAAATGGGTGGGTCAAATACCATGAGTGGTTTTAGTTTGTGTTGTTAGTCATCTGAGGAAAAGGAAAAAAAGGGTTGTTTCACTGATGAAATCACTTCTTCTCCAGCATAATGATGTCTAGTGCGAGTCAACCATCATTCTTGGAAGAATCATCCAATATTTTTTCAAGGAATCCCAGCAGTATAATACCCTTTTCTTCGACAGATGTGAATCACTCACAAAAAATCACCCACCACAAAATGGGTGGGTCAAATACCGCGAGTTGTTTTAGTTTTTGTTGTTAGTCATCTGAGGAAAAGGAAAAGAAGGGTTGTTTCACCGATGAAATCACCCACCACAAAATGGGTGGGTCAAATACCGTGAGTGGTTTTAGTTTGTGTTGTCAGTCACCTGAGGAAAAGGAAAAAAAGGGTTGTTTCACCGATGAAATCACTTCTCCAGCCAAGAATAACGCCAACTAAAGGTCATGGGAAGCCAAAAACTCCATTGTTATGGTCTCCTTAGTCAACTCCATGGAACCGCACATTGGGCACACCTATCTGTTCTACAAGACAACACACGAAATTTGGAAAGCAACTCAGGAGATGTATTCGTATTTTGAAAACTCTTCTAAATGCTTTGACATTCAATCAACCCTCCGAAATACAAAGCAGAGAATGAAATCAATAACATAGTACTACAACAAGTTAGTTGAACTTCGGCAAGAGATGGATTTGTTTTATTCAATTCCATGGAAGCGTACTGATGTTGGGATACTGTAAAATCAGGTACTAGAGAAAGACCGTGTCTTTGATTTCCTTTAAGGTTTAAACAAGGAATCTGATGAAGTAAATGGGAGAATCCTTGGAACCAACCCCTTGCTATCACTTTGAGAAGCCTTCTCGAAAGTCAAATGACAAGAAAGCAAGAAGAAAATGATCCTAAATGCAACTTGTACACAGGACCCGAAAAACTATCACAAGGTTCTGCGCTTGCCACCACCTGCTCAAACTCCTCTAATTCCCAAGCTCAGAAGTCACAGGAGAATAAATTATGGTGTGAGCATTATAAAAGAAACTTATGGGGACATCCATGGGAAGTCACCAAACTTGAAACCACGAAATCAAAGAAAAACAATCCGTTTGCCCATATAACTGAGAAGCTGCTGCAGAGACCAAGAAACAAAGTGCAGCTGCATTTACTCCAGAACAAATGGATATTTTAGGAACCCTTCTCAGCCAACAAAGAACAAATGACCACTCAACTGTGACACTCACGACAATAATGGTACAACTAAGTATTATTTTATCATCTCTCTTATCACAAAAAATTGTTTCTCTAATTATAAAAATATGCTGATCTGTGGCTTATGAGAGTATCTCTATAGTGGTTGGGATAAGAGATATGGTTTCTCTAGAAACTGCACTTAAAATCAGTACTTCATGTTCCAAATTTACAAGTTAACCTTTTTTTTTCTGTTAGTAAGTAAATTAAGGATCATAATTGCATGACAACCCTTCTACATAATCATTGTGTTTTTCATTATCTACCTTCGGGGAAAATGATTGGCAATACTAAGGAAAAAAATGGCCTCTACTTCCTCACTAGTTCTTCTCTAACTCCAAAAGCACCTATTATTACTTTTCTGTCTCTAGTACCTCTGATGTTCTCTTATGGCACAAACGTCATATTCATCTTAGTTTCCTATATATGAAATGATTGGAGTCCTCATAGTTTCCTATATATGAAATAGTCGTATCCAAAATTATTCATCTATAAAGATCTTTCTTCATTTTCTTGTGAATCATGTATTCTTGCTAAATAAACAAGAAAATAATAACCTGTTCATAATACAAAATGTCAAAACCATTTCATCTCGTTCATAGGGACATTTGCGGGCATCATGAGTCACTAATTTAACAAGCAAAAAGTAGTTTATGACCTTCATAGATGACCACACTTGGGCCTCTGGGTTTACCTCCTAAAAGAAAAATATGATATCGGGTCTGTCGTTCAACAATTCCATAAGACGAAATACTTTATACATATTCTGGGCAATTATCTCATTGATAATAGAGTTGTCCATCAAAGTTCATGTGCTTATATCACTCAACAAAACATGGTAGCAGAGAGAAAAAATCATCATCTATTGGAAGTTGCCCGCTCAATTATGTTTGAAAACTTTGTGCCTCACCAATACTGGGGTGAGATGATGTTAACTACCTCTTACCTCATTAATGGGGGCTTCCGTTAAAAACACTCAATTTTCTAAGGCCCATCAGTTGTCTCCAGAAATGTTTTCCTCATGTCAGATTATTCAGTTCTCTGACTCCAAAAGTCTTTGGTTGCTCTGTGTTTGTGCATCATACCAATCCTACGTGAGGAAAATTTGACCCAAAAGCCACTAAATGTCTTTAGATACTCTCCTACTCATAAAGGTTATAAATGTTATAACCCATACTTGAAAAAAATTG